CCCTGCAAATGGCAGTATGCAATGCTAACCAATCGGCTACCGCATCCGCCAACCGGTATAAATGAATTAAAAAACTTATTTCAATTTTTTTTTAAATTTAAAGGATTGATAACACGAACTGAATATTGCAAATATGGGTTTCAAAATAATGAGATTTCTAAATCATTTGTTTAATATATTTTTATTGCAGATAGAACAAGAAGTTTTTTAGTGCAACGCATGAAAAATAAAATTTTAAATCAAATGTAAGAAATTGGCATCCGAGGTTGCCGAAATTTTTGACAATTTGAAAATTGCCTTGGGCTGAATATCCAATGGTAAATAAAAAAATTATCTGCAAGCAAGCATTATTGTCGTTAAACAGAGACTTTATACAAATGTTTCTTAAAAAATAATCGAAAATTTTAAAATGAATATTGGAAATAATGAAACAATTCGATTGAATGTTCTCGAACGAATGAGCATTTATTTCAATGTGTACTGTTTAATGAATTTATTTTTTAAGAGCTATAGGAAATTTGAGAAAAAATCACATGGAATTAACTTAGCTTGAAACCTTTATTTTAATCGAAAGTACAGTCCATATAGTTCAATGTTTGAAGATTATTTCTTGCAAATGTTGATCGTGACTCCTCCACAATTGGCCCGTCCTCTTAGTCAAATGTTGTCATAATTTTTTTCCAACATGTCGGCCGGTATCTCCCGACTACATGGTTCAATATTGTCCTCCAATGTGTCGATTGAAGTGGGCTTGACTTTGTAGACATTAGATTTAACATAGCCCCTCAAAGGCGTTGACCGGTATGCAAGTCAAGCTCTTGCATTTTGGGCGAAAAAAGTTTGATATTATTTCACGGTAGCTTGCATCATTCACAGTTTCTTCCTTAACAGAGCATGCATAATGATTAAATTACATACAAACTGAAGATGTTTGACAGTGATATAAAACACGAAATGTGCAGCAGCCTTTCAAACTAGTGTTGTCAAAAATATAGTGGCTAAAAATTCACCTTTTACAGCGCCTATTTTGTTGATATCCAACATTTCTAATTAACAAAATAACCACTATTGTATATACTTAATAATAAATAATACAATATACATATGTATGCTCCCAACAAAGGCCAATAACTTCAAAAAATTTCAAATGCTTAGTTTTTGATAGATTATTGGTCAAAATATCAGCCACCATTTCATTCGTTGAAATACATACATATGTATATCTTAATTCAATTTCTTTCTTCTTTTATTTTTCATGAATATAACGATATCTGAAAAACGGGGTTCTTTACAAAATAATGTGCACAAACATTATTTCCATTCAATATCATTGGTTGATTGTTGCATAGTGGACCCTTTTCTACTTATGTATATAATTACCGATTCTTTCGCAGTAAATCCGTCTTCTGATAAATCAACTAAACTCAAGGTATTATTTTAAATTTGCGATTCTTATTCCTTGCTCTTTGCTTCCATCCATTGTTTGGATTGCTTCAAATTCATTGCCTGTTTTACTTATTCAGGTACTTCTCATTGCAACTTATTGCATTAACAATATTAGGCTGCTTTCGCGGTCGACCTGGTTAGCCGCTGCAGTGGTATTCTTCGACCGATCTTTGCTTTGTGATCTTGCTAATTCTTTTTTAAAATTATCAGAGAAATTCATGGACTCTTGTTCATTTTGTGGTAATTGAACACATTTTTCCCTTCCATCGATGTTCTAGTCTATTATGTTAATAATGTCGAGTAAAAACACTATGGCTCCATGCAGCATTTTCTCTTAAAATGCCGTTCTCTGATTTTCGAGAAAAACTCTCTGAATTCTCAATGAGTTCTACCTCTATGCGCACAATTACTTAACGACTAATTGGATTGAATAAACGATAAGGTTCCGAATTTTTTAAATTACGTTTGGTTTTTTTAACTTCTACGGTATTTGATTTTCCCCGTGATCGTTCTCAAATGTAACTAACTTTTTTCCATCACAACATATAACCGATATCGCTCCGCTAGCGATGCACCAATCATGTTTTCCAAGGATTTCTTCCTGCACTAATGCAAGAACTGTCTTTACAATGTTGCCTCTTTAGGCATTTTAAACATTTGAATTTCTTGTATGTTTCTTTCGTTCTTGCGTCTTCTCAACTGTGTCTCGCACTGTATACGCTTTTTAACTAACATTCCACTTTTACGATAACCTTTTTCCATCAACTTTACCTTTAGCGCGTTTAGCGTTGGTAAGATGTCTCGCGTGCTTATCGCGACAATAAAAGACTCATACGACTTCGGCAGATTCGTAGTAACATTATTACAAAAAGCTCCTCTAAAAAAATTAAATTTTCCACAATGTCCATAAAACAATTGATGTACAATGGTACATTGCTAGCATCTTTTGATTTGGCAAATCCTTAAATAAATCTACTTTTCTTGCTGGTCCTCTAGGCCAAAGAGATTAGATTGGCATATTCCAGGCCACTGCCGCTGATATTCCCATTTTGTATTTGCTTCCATAATTGAATCATAATTGGAATCATTCGAAATTTCCTACTTAAAACGCAGCGCAAGGAAAAATTTTCAAATTCAAATTTTTTGCATTTTTTCTACAATTTGACTTTCAATCCAAAGCTGATTTCCACCTATAAAACAAATGATTGAAATGCTAATATAAAAAATTTAGAAATTTATATTGCTTTAAATATTTTTGGTAGGATACCGCTAGTCCAGATTTCTTTTATATTTAATGCCTAAAAAGATATTTTTGCTTAGATTAATTATTTGATGTGGCTATTGAAGTTTTTTGCTTTTTTTCAAGAATAATTAAAACCAGATTTGCGATGAATTTATCGAATATTTAATCTCTGTTGCACAGTGTACTCTCATATATGTATAAAAAATTAAGAACTATAATTTATTAAATTTCTCATAGCCATAAAATTAACAATAACTAGTTTTCAATCAAAAATAGAACTCTAATTGTATATATATACGTTAACTTATGTCTGTAAGTACATACAGATATATGTAAGACCTACCTAAATAAGAAAAATATTCAATAATATCCAAGTTATTGCATCACAATAACAACGCATGATTTATTTAGCCGTTAAATATTAATTTATTTTTATTGCAACCAATTACTGACACTTTGTTATTGTACATCATTTCATCAAACTCGTTCAATTTAAGGATGGAATATTTTCAGTCAAAAAAAGCATAACTAAGAAAATTGGAAAATTATACAATATTAATATTTATAATACTTTAAAATGTGTATAGAATAGAAAGAAAGCTCACTTTGAATTATATGCACATACAAGGGGTTTCGGTAGAGCTTCCCTTCCAAGTTGTGGTGTGCTGTCTTTAGTTTTTTCACCAACCTACAGTTATTTCTAATCCGCCTCCAAACGTCATGTCAGAAATACGCTCGGAGGGTTTGACATTCCCTGCCGAGGGGCAATCGAAATTAAAAAAATAAATTTCTTAAATTTTTTGGTTGTTTAGCGAACCATTTGAAATTTAAGTCAGATATGAAAAAAATTAAAGGAAATATCAAAATCTACAGCTACAAATAAGAACATTCGACCGAGCACAACAGACTCGCTACTTTGTCATCCTCTTCGTTGCCCTCACCCCTACAAACTAAGGTTTTTGTCGAGCCTATTTCATTTAAAATATAGTTCAAAAAATAGTTACTACTAGTACTTCTTAAATTTATAGAAGCTGAACGAATTTCCTTTTTGTTACGAATCTATAAGTACACAAACAAAATACATATGGTTTTTGTTTTTTTATTCTTGCTACTGTCGTGTGAATCATCCTTGTGCATAATAATTTTATTTTTTTCATTGGTTTTATTCAAAAAGTTTCATAAGGAAGATAATGATTATGCACAATCATAAAATTGATCACTTTAATAGAGCTATAAAACCTAAAAATATTTGAATATCAGTTCCTGAGCGATTTGGTAAATAAAATAAAAATATCAATTATCAAAACTTCTTATTTTTTCTTTATTTTTACTCAATTTTAAAGATTAACATATAACAATTTTTTTTGTATCGATTTTCTCTAAATTAAAAAAATTACCAAATAATATCCTTGTATTCCTTGTTCTAAGGAATTCTTATGCATTGAGTTGAGCATAATTTTTCGCGTTTCTTTTAACCTTTCATCTAATTTGCTCAGCTAGTGAAGCTTACTAAAATTGCAAGAAAAATATTTTTTGGTCAAACCAAGCATTTCTCTCAGTGTAATAAGCTCTAAACCAATTTATAAAAAACTCTTCTTCAAATAACATTATATATTTATATAATATGCAACCGTTTAGAAAAAAATTAACTGCAGAGCTCTTCACCTTCGGTTGATTTAAGGGAAACGTAAACAAACAGTTATTGAAGTGAAAAAAAAAAGCAGACAGTCCAACAATCAACCAAGTTGTAAATAGAAGTCATGTGACTTGACTTGCATGCGTTCGCCGTTCCTCTCACTCAATTGAACCAACTCATATACTTACATTTATAACTATTCTAATAATAATGCAGCCAACCAAATATCTGAACGCATGCAATTCAGTTGAAATGTGCGGCTTCATGCACTCGTGTTTTCTCACAGAAAATTACACACATATCTGCACATATGATATATGATAAATGCTGCTTCTGCAACGTGCAGCTTCAAAAGCATAGCTTTAACCATACACTCTTATGTTTGTACATATGCATAAGGTTGTTAGCTACTTTTCTACTGATGAGCAACAGAGCATCAGAACAATCAATATTTGATTTGAATTCATCTTTCGCCTGACATGCCTTGATCGGTCTTGTTGTGCGCTTTGAAGGAGGCGGTTACTATTTTCGGTCAAAAACGTGTGGAGGCCACACCAAGTTTACGTTTAAGGATTTCAATTCTACTCACATACACATGTACAATATATATTTGCAAATATTTTAAATTTCAATATTTAATTTATTCATTTCTTAATTATTTTTTTTTTTTTGCAGTCCACCGGGAATGAGGATCCAAACGAGGTTTACTTGGATTCGGAAATGGAAAAAGTTTTCGCCGGTCCAAGTGCGCACAAGGAAAAGTTCGATGTAACAACATTTCAGGACGCGAATCAGCCAATTGGTTCGTATAAGCAGAGTAATGGTGAGTTTAATTGTTTTATAAAATACAATAAAACATATATAATATTTGAAAGCGTGTTTACATATATAACAAGAAATAGCTCTTATTCTTAATATCCTAGGAAAATTAAAAAAAAAAAAATTAATAGAAAGGGGAAAATATTTTAAAAGCAGCAAATACCCAAATTGCAAAAAAAAAAATATTTTGTAATTAAGAAATAATGAAACAAGTAGAGAATAATAAAAGCCTTAAAAACAAATATTGTGACACAATGAAGAATAATTTGAATGAGATTATAAAAAAAAACGCAAAAAAAAAAAATAAATTGAAGTGCAGCGCAATTGTGAACAGAAACTTTTAATTGAAAAACAGAAATCAAAAAAAAAAAAAAAAAAAATAAAATACAAGGAAAATTTGAAATTTTTTAATTAAAGAAAAGTTAGAAATAAAAGTTGAGCTCAAAAAGGTAAAATACATGAGTTTTTAAAATATAATATACAGAATCTCAAATCTAAGTATTAAAAAAATAATAAAAAATTCAAAAAGGTTCAAAAATAAAAATTAGTATCAAAACCGAAAAAGTAGTGGATATTTTATATTTTAAATAAAAATAAAAATACATAAACTAGAAATATGATTTAAAAAACAAGTTAAAAACTTCAAATATTTAAAATTTAAAAAAACACAAAGATTATAAAATATGCAAATAAAATATATGTATGTATCCATATATAGAAAATATATGAAAAAAAATTATAATATTTGTTTCGTTAATCAAAATACAACATAAATTGGACGAAAAATTGGAGAAACACTTTCAAAAGTTAAAGAAGCAAAAAGTTTAATTCAATCTTCCAAATTCTCAAGCAATTCATTGTCAATTAAAATCAAATGGAAATTCAAATGCCAAGAAAAGTATAAAATTCATCATAAAAATAATAAATATGTAAGGAAACGAAAATTTAAGCATAATGTGTTGCAATTAAGTACTTAATTAAGCATTCATGTTTATATAAGCATATAATGTATATATATTATATATACATATATGAAACAATGAACAGAAATACTAAAATCGCCGAAGTACATGTGGATTCACCAATTGTAATTACAGTGCATCGCAAAAGTGAATTAAATATTGAAGAAGATTCGGAATATGAAAGCACAACAGATCCCGTTAATACACAAAATTATGATGACCTACCCGAAGATTATCCATTAGTATCCGAGCGCGCTGGACACGGCGATCATTCGGTAAGTTATTGAAAGCAAAAATCTAGAAACTTAAGTCTAAGTAAAATGAAAAAAAAAACTAAAACCCGTCTAAAAACTAACTAAAAATATTTTTCATCGTTTGAAGTTAATGTAATCAAACAAACATATTTAGAAATATTTAAACTTTTATTAAAAATTTTTAGTCATTTAAGTACATAATTAATTTTCTAAAATAAAAATACTTAATAAAGAACGTTTAGCGCAATATTTTTTTGTTTGATAGATTTTCTAGCATTTATAAAAGTTTGTCTTTCTAAAAGCTTACTTATGGCTGTTTAGTCAGTAGTAAAAGTTTTGAATGAAGAGCAGCATATTATTTAAAACTTATTTTGCAAGGTAGGGCTTCAAATAAGATTTATTTTAATTAAAAATGAGAGAAGGGCGTAACCCCATTAGTAAATTTTATCAACTTTTTAACCTTTAAAAATTAGAATTAAATGAAATAGATAACAAAAACCATTCTTCCTGCAGGACAATTCTGCCGATGAAAAGCAAGTGCATTTTGGTAAGAAAAAAGCTGTAGTATCCCCACCTACTTTAGTGTACGATGAACAACCCGCTGACAATATACACGAACGTAAAAGACGAAGAAGGTAAATGCATAAAAAAAAAAATAAACGAAAAACAAAATTAATTTAATTTATATTTTTGCATTTCTTTCTCCTTCCAACCGATAGCCGACATCAGTATTACAGACAACGTAAATTTTCCCATCAAGACAGCGTGGAAAACAAAAAAGTGGTCGAGGAGAATGGCGAGGCTGGTGTCCGCAAGGTATCCGTGCAACCGGAGGATACCACATTAGAGGTAAGTAAATTTTACTGTTTTTCAAATTCAATAATGCTAAAGCTTGTTATGAGTTCTGAAAATACTAGCATATTAATTTATATTAACGACCTTATTCATAAAAACACAAAAATATTTTAAATATAAAAGTTTGAAATAAAAGTTAAAAATACATATAAAAATTATCATTTTTGTGAACAAGGTCAATGTATCAGCAATTTAAACTTTTCTAAACAAAAACTAAAATTTCAGACAGACAAGTAATTTAGTAGTAAATAAAATGAATTTTTATATGCTCTTTTCCAAAATGCTTTTCTCTTACTTTCTATGCCAAAAACTTTAATAACTATTAAAACAAATATATAAAATAAAAAAAAAAATCTCTGCTTACAAAAACAATGTTAAATGCATTTTTAGACACAAAAGCCAGTTGCGCAGGTTGTTACACATTGCTAAAGCACGCTCTGTTTTCTTTATTAATTCTTTTTAACTTTAATATTTTCAATTCTCTGCTATTAATCATCACACCCAAAAACAGGAGGCTGATCTCAATGAGTTGAGATCTCATCGTTCCGATGATCCACGTGCGCTACGGCGTCACAAAATCCATCATTCCTCAGTCAAATTACGCGAGCTACCGCAAATCAGCGTTGCGGGCTTGCAATTGAAGAAGGTCTACGATCATAGTCCACATGAGGTGAGTTCGTAATGGTATCTTTAATCTAAAAACCTTTTTATTAACGTATTTTTTAAACTCTGTCAGATTTTTGTGCAACTCGACGAACTCACCGGCCTTGGTGAGGACCGAGAGTGGAAGGAAACCGCGCGTTGGATCAAATATGAGGAGGATGTAGAGGAGGGATCTGATCGGTGGGGCAAACCACATGTTGCTTCACTCTCCTTCCACTCACTGCTCAATTTGCGTCGCTGTCTCGAGACGGGCGTTGTGCTGCTTGATTTGAATGAAAAGGATCTGCCTGCTGTGGCCTACCGCGTTGTGGAGCAGGTTTGTGAAATTTATACACTATCCAAATGCTAATAAACTTTATTAAAAAACATACATATATATACTTTTTTTTTGGAAAAAAAAATCATTACTAAATAAGCTCATATTAAATTTAAATAAAATAAACTTAATTTAAATTACAATTAAAAATTAATATTAAGACAAAAAATAAAAATAAAAATAAAATTAAAATTAAAATTTTAAATTAAAATTAAAATTAAAATTAAAATTAAAATTAAAATTAAAATTAAAATTAAAATTAAAATTAAAATTAAAATTAAAATTAAAATTAAAATTAAAATTAAAATTAAAATTAAAATTAAAATTAAAATTTATTAATAGATTTTATCGATCTTTAAGTATTTATAAAGTTACGATTATTGCTTTTAGATGGTCGTAGAAGATCTAATTAATGCAGAAGACAAGCCAGCCCTCATGCGTTCGTTGTTGTTGCGTCATCGCCATGTGAACGAACATCAAAGCGGCTTTCCGTTTACGAAACGGAAATATAGCAGCTACACGAGTTTGCAGGTAAGCTTAAGCCGATATATATGTTTGCTTGTGTTGGAAATATTCCTATATGGCAATACAAAATGGCTATTTATATAATTTACATAAATACATGCATACAAATGTATGCTAGGTATTACCGCAGGCGCTTAGCTTATCAGAAAACAAATATATATCTTAATGCAATTAATGTGTCTCACCACAATACATGCAAACACTGTCGATGTAGCAGCAATGCTAGATTTGTATTAAACACATATTTGCGAACATAAACATACACATACATATCTACTAACCCATATTACGTGGGTAAATCATTATTTCAGATTTTAGTTTCCTATTCAATTTTTTATGTCTTAAAATTTTTTACTTGTATATATATTTACATCCACACCTAACTATATAAAATATGTTAGAAATAATAACTAATGATGGCTTATAATTTAAATTCAGTTTAATTATTTAAGTTTTCTTGTATTGTATTTTAATTTTTAGATTAATTATTTTTAATATACGCAAATGGCTTTAATATAATTTAAAACCTCATTAAATGTGTTAAAGCTTCCAAACTCCAAAGACAAAATTATTTTGTGGTCCAAATTTGAAAAGTTATATTTAAGCTTCGTTCACGGTGAAAACAGATTTTTTCATTGTAAAGGTGAATATTAAGGCCTTATATGAGAAGAATGATTTTTTAGTAGCTTAAAATTTTTTTTTGCCTCTTTAGGCCTGGTTGAGGTCTAGTTCAACACCAGCTGGGCCCTTGTTTCGAAGCAGTTCTTGTTCATACAAATACTATTTTGTGGAAGCCAATACATTCTTTAGCTTGATCTTAGGTACGGACTAGTTCAGTAATAATTAGAAACTAGTTGAAAAATGTTCGAGTCCAATTTCGAATTGTTTCCGAATATCTAAAATTAATATCATCAATTGAAACAGCTATGGATTATTCAAAATTTCTTTTCTTACAAACTAATAGTCTCATTTTTAATTGTGGAATTGGTCAGTTAAAACTCAAAACCAATATAAGTGATGCGGTTCGTATATTTTGTACTAAAACGCTTTTGTCCGATTGATACGATAGTGGTATGTAGAATCAAACAAAATGAAAAAATCTAAATTTTCTGTCTTAAAAGGTAAAGATAAAAAACTAAGTAAATTAAAATATAGCAGTTTAATGATAATTCGGAGAAATCATTCGTATCGTTCATTTATTCAAATTCTTTTTATTAAGATTTAAGAATATGAAAAAAATGGCTTTTAATAATATTTCCTTTTCATTGAGCGGAATTATCATCTAATGACAATAAGAAATTAATATAGCATTATAATTACTTACATATTGTACATACATACATAATACATGTGTTTAACCTTCATTTTTATACACATTTGTACATACTTGTATTTGCTCTCTTCTCTTTCTGTTTTCATTTAATACAATTTTTCGCCATAATAATCGTCAAATTGGTTGTGCTATCCCCAACAATCATCGAATTTTTTGGACAAACAAAATTTTTATTATCCTGTTTTTGTCATAAAAAATGTCTTCACTCGCTTACGCACATCAAAACAAACTTATGTATTGGCATTCCTGTATATGCATATTGATATGATATTTCAATTGCTCATCATCACCATAATATTATCATATCTTGTGCACACTCCAATCTACGTCTGTACGTCAATATGTGTGTGAGTGTGTGTGTGTTGCTGTACCTCTACGTAACGCAGAAATCACCGCAAAAGAACGGCAATAAAGTAGCAACTGCGATTGCCAAAACAGTAATGTCATTAAGTTTTTCGTTCAACAAGATACGTATATATAGACACAGTAGACTCTCGGCTATGTGAACAATATTGATGTTTATGTGTTAACTTTTACACGCATTATATTGTATTTGGTATATATATATGTACATAGATAAGTATGTCAAAAAAAAAACTTACATAATTTTAATTAATTTACTACAATTTTTTGAAAATTACATTCTTGACAGTGCAAATTTCCAGTATGAAAGCAATTTTCTTCATTATATCTTCGAAAATTTTAAGAATAAAAAGGCTTAATATTAAATAAAATAAATTATGTACTTAAAAATGTAGATTTTTGTGAAAATATGAATAGGAAAATTTAATATTCTTCATAATTGTTTTTTTTGGCCATGTTATTAATTTTTTATAAGTTTCAAGTGAGCTAAAGTTCCGGTTTGTTAGTATTTTTTTTTATACAACATAGAAAAATGGTGGAAAGGACAGCTGTATTTTCAATTTGAGTCACCATATATCTGAAAATCATATAAAAAATAATTATTCTATAATTCTGCTGACTTTAATGTAACTTTTTAGATATTCAAATACTTGGAAAATCAAATTCCTATCGAAATATTTTATTCTAAGGCGTCCTTTAATAACATTTTAATGTTCACATAAGCAAGGCACTACAGTGGCTGAAGCAAAATAGTCGTGACTTAATGGAATATATATATATATATATGGAAATATATTCAAATGATTGTTAATTTATGACTTGTAAATTTTTTTGCAATACCATTGTCACAAGCATATCTTGTCTGAAAGAAAAAATCTTAAAGAGGTATGGAGTCAATAAAAAAGTTTTGCAGTTACGACTATCTTGCATATAACAATCATTATATATTGAAATATAGGCACAACGGCAAAGTTGCAATGTTATTCGCGTTTAATGTACAAGAAAATATTTTTATTGATTAAGTTTTGTCATAAAAAATAAGTAATGAAGATTGAAAGATTTTAAATCAAAACATAAACGCAAGAAACTCTAGTCGTGGAAAACCTAAACAAATTCATACATCCGCAAAGCTGTTATTGTTGCTATGTGTGCTATATTTCTTATTAATATAATAACCAAGTAAATAAAAAATAAGTTCAAAAATTTAAATACTTATCAAAATAAAAATTATTTCCTTTTCTCTTTTTCTTATTCAAACAATTATTTATCTTCACAATTTTTTTGTGGATTTTGTTTGTTTTAATTTGGCATAAAAAATTTGTATCTATATAAAAAACGATTGGAAATAATTTTTACAAAAACTATTGAATCAAAAATTGGCTCATAACCAAAAAACAAATTGAAATTTTTAAACAAAAAACATATCGAAAATTTCTTTAAAATAAATTTTATATATTTACACATCAAACATATAAATCCCGATCACTAATGTACATACAAAACAGTTGCTTTGGATGGGTGGCGAAATTCAACAGCAACTACATCAGCAACAACAATTAGCAATACAACAACATCTACTCAATGTCGAAAATGCGAAAAAACGACGTTCCGTATGTGAGACCCTCAGTGCACCGCCCACATCCATTTCACTCTGCATCGATGGGAACAGCGATGCGAATAATCGTCGGCACTCGACTATGTCGTATTTGGGAGTAATTTTGAAAATTTTAAATTTTAGCAAAAAGTTTAGATACCGATATTGACCGTTTTTATGGTTAGATAGTGAAAAAAATCAGTACCAAAAGTTTTCATGTTTACTCTGCGCTATAAAAACGGTCCTCGTTCAATTAAATTTTGATTTTTGTTTATTACGACCAATTTGTTTGTTAGTCATTTACTTGTTTGAGAATGTTGCAGTCCTGCTATTGCTGGAACATTAATGCATATAATTTATATAGAGAGAAAATTTTGAACCATTTGTTTTTGTTTGTAATTTGATTTATTTGTCTTGATTTTGCATCCAATCAAATATATAGAGAAATTCGTTAAATAAATGCCCGCCAGTTATCATAGCTTTGAATGTTGCTTGAAACCTTTTTCGCAAAATTTGATTTAAAGATTTAACTAAAAATGGGTTAATTATTTGTAAACTGATCATCATCTCGGATTTTTTTTTTAATTCATACTTTCTTTTTTATGCAAAATTTATGTTGTTTTAATTGAATAAAGATAATGAAAGCTAAGACTCATTGAAGTATCGCAGCATTGTTCATGAACTTTGATACATTTAACCGAGATACGCCCCATCCTATCAACATTTCTAGCAATTTCGTACACCTTAGCGATATTTAGAGGAAGTAACTAAAATGCGCCGCGACCGCGTGGTAAGCATTGCGTACTGTCATTCGGAAGGCCCGGGTTTAAATCCTGATGTTAATTTAAATTAAAAATTAAGCTAAATTTTCTAATTGCGGCCAAGCCTCGGCAGGCAATGTCAACCCCTCCAAGTGTATTTCTGATATGAAATAAAGCTCTTTATAAAAAAAAAATCAGCCGTTCGGAGGCGGCTTAGTAAATATAAACTGTTCCTGCATTTGTCGGAAAAGCATCAAGATGCAAAACCAAAAATTGGACCGAAAATCGCTTCAGCGGTTACAAAGCGCCCACTATATAAGTAAAATTCGCTGAGTTATAATATGACAATATTTATTTATTTATTAAGAATATAGTAGCTTACAACATAAATCTTATAAGCCATTCGTTTCGAAGCTGAAGCTACTAGACCTTAAGCTCAACGCTTTTTACATATTTATATTTTAAATTTTGATTATTGTTGTTTAAATCCTATGAAAATTTTAGTTCTTTTGAGAAAGTTGGTTATTAAAAGAATTGATTCGGCTGAGGATACTGAGAATTTTCTGCGCATTTTAAGTAATGTTTTATATAAATTTAAATACTTAAGGTTATTGCTGAACTCTTAAGGCCAATTTAAAGCCATATTCCACCATGTCGTTAAGTAAAGAAATTGGTTAAGATGTTTGTTGCATCAACACTATTTTCAGCGGCTTGCTCTTCTAGGAAAATATATTCTTTTCTCTTTAATTCACTTTTCTAGTTCATGATAAAGTTACTTTATTTTAAATTAAATATTTAGAATTTTGAAATTAAGGCATACTCAATAATATGAAAATTTGTAAATATATTTTCTAGTTTTTATTGAAAGAGTAAATGTATTTTCGAGGGTATTTAAAACTCATAATTTGCTCAGCCCAATTATTTAGTTTCCTCACTAACTAAGTTAGCCCTGATCTCAACTCATTATAGAATTAATTAAAGATCATTTAATCAATTTTAATCAATCAGCTTTCAAGATTATTAAAAATAATTGAATTTCGGCTGGATTATTTTTTCAGCACTAATTACACATCCACCGATAGCTATATCTACATAATTTAGTAATAATATTATACCTGCAATTTTCGCTTTATAAGCATACATTTATTTGTCGCCAGCTGCCATCTTCGATGCGATGCACATATGGCACCGTTTATACGATTCTCGAATCTAAATCCATTGAAGCTGAAAAAGGCTTCTTCGAAGCAGCTTTAGAAGTTTGTTAATTAGCCAGAAGTTACACTGAGTCAAAACAGGTGAAGAACCAGCAACAAGGACACACGAAGAATCAATGCAGTGTAGAATCAAACGAGCTTTATATCAGCAAGTCCTGTAGTTTACAATCGAGAGTTTTGGAGGTCCAACTTTTTGATTTTTGCGACGTTGTAGAGGTCTGTACCACTTGTGAAAAAATCTGCGACTAATTTTCAATGACTCCTCAACCAAAATTCGTTGCGCAAACAAAGTTTGATGAAACCGCTCTTTTGAATAGTTTCATACATTATAAAAATCTACGAAATTCGTCTCGTAAATCCCAAACCACAAGTGTAATTATAGGTCAGATTTAGAAAAGGAGATTTTGCGCACTTGTCAAGTAAAACACTACCAACTAAAAATGAAGAGGACCTGTCCAAGCTGAAATACCGTTAAAAATTTAAATGCCAAGTTCACCATAGAATGCACACATAGTACTCTCATCGGTTAAACTCGAGTATGTTCAAAAAAGTGTAATGTTTAGGAAAGTTGTTAACATAAAAAAACAACACTAAATTCTCTAAAAAAATATCACAATCTCTGAATTTTTAGTTTCATTTTTTCTCCCTTATTGGAAAGAGTTAAAGTGACAATCGTTATTAGTCGTAAGGGGTGTCGTGTTTTTAGTTTTTTTCTCAGGTAGTGGACTTCAAAAAAGTTAAGAATTTGAAAATGTTTTGATTGGAAAAATAAAGATTCATATGCCTACAGGAGAGTTTTTTTTTTGACCAAGACTGTTCGTCTCAAGTAATACCAAATATGATAGGTTTATACTTATATTTATTTACGAATGTGCATAAATGCACACAGGTAATTATAGATTATCTGCAGTTCGAAAAACCACACAGTGACTCTCAAACTTTTAAGGCTTTTGGCTAAAACAGCCTGTATAAGTGTTTCTCGAAGGTATATTTTCCAAAAATATATTTCTTGCATGTAAAAAAGATTTCTTAGTTTTGTTTTCTTTGCGAAACTCTGTTTTTTATTAATCGGTTAAATTTCAGTACCTCAGTCTTCTATATCAATTTTGGCATAACCATTTTTTTTTCAGCCTTCTCGTAAAATATTTTGTTCTCATTTTATTTATTTATTTATATATTTGGTGTGAAATGAATAATTTTATTGTTCTATATTATCCACCTCACTTCCGACGGTTCCTTTTCACTAAATTCCGAAAACTCTCCATCTAAGTTATACATAATTTCTAAAGTTTTGAAATATCTTGAATGTTTTCAATTTTTTGGGAAACGAATTATTAGTAGTATTACGAAGAAAATACTCTTGACTAACACAAAAATATATGTATATTGTGAAAGTTTCCAAGCAATACTCGCTTTTAAAAGAGTTAATATTAATATACATATCTTACAATAGTAAAAAATCCAATACAGGCTTTTGGTATCGCGAGAAGCCGAGAGCTTTTATGGGTCAAATGACCCTTCTGGTAGTTAGGGCATCTTAAAAGTGTAATATATCTTGGTAAAAAGTAGCAGGTGAGCAGTGAATATAATGAAATCTAAATTTGGATGTATGTTTTAAAAATTTCGTACCTGCATAAGATTGTTCGAACTAAAAATTAGCCATCAATGAATTAAAAGAGCGGCCGCTGTTGCCGAGTATTAGCATTGCGTACTGACATTCGCAATGCCCGGCTGATATCCCGGTGACAGTAACATTAAAAAGTTATGGAAAGTTAATTTAAATAAATAATTAAGCTAAATTCTCTAATTGCGGACGCTTTTCGGCAGGTATTGTACTGTCCAAAAAAGCTCCTCATAAAAAAAACACGATCAACCGTTCAGAGGTGGCTTAGTTTAAGCTGTGGATCCCTCTAGTTTGTTGGAAAAACATCAAGACGTAGAGCCACAAAGTGGACGAGGAGCTCGGCCAAAAAATCGCTTCAGCGGTTACAACGCGCCGATTACATAAGCAAGAATACTCTCTGAAAAAGAAAAGTTTCCAAAAGAGTAAAACTATATATCACTTTTCAGACAGCCATAACATCAGCTGTTTTTTTCTTTTTTCCTTTATAATTTTTTTCTTTTTACAAATTAAAACACCAAATATTAATTGAAAATGACTATAAATAGGAAGCTGGCTGTGAGATACCCGTCAGAAAAATGAAATGCATCAATTTGTTTATAAAATTTTCATTATTACAACAGGCTAATAAAAAAAATGAATCTCTCTGAAATTCGAGTAATTTATTACTTCTTCACATACTAAATTTTTCTATGAGTTTCCAGTTGTAAGTTCGCTATGTTCTCGATGATTCCATGCAATTTATAATAATTAAATTGCCAAAATCTCTGTATAGGAATACCAAATGAGTGTCTATAGCAACACAATCATAGCTCAATTTTATATTGAAAAAAATTTTTTCCGTCATTAGGTCTCCATTTTGCGTATGCGGCGTGATCAAATACTTTTTACATGGATATGCAGAATCTCTCAATAAATAGTAGTCTGGAATTCTAATAGTATTAATTTTTAATATTACAAAAACAATATTCAAGTGCATTACAGCCGCATTGGTGAATTTTTAACATTCAACTCTCATTTTAGGAACCAAGGAAACCAAAAAATGCATTAATAATTTGTTTCTTTTCGTTGACACATTTCCTTTCCGGTCAGTAAAGCCGTATGTAGTCCCGTCAATGCACCCTGTAGAGTTGGAAAAGAATTATTTGCTGGCAAAAAATTTCGTCGTCACTTTCTTTCATGGGATCTAATTCGTCCACTGCACGTACCACATTATCCAATACCGTTGTTGAAGTAAGAGCTTCATCCGTTACTAATTGGCATCTGAGTATGAAAAATTAGTTACGATTATGTATAAACGCTTTGATAATTTATTACATACATTTAGTTACTATTTCACATTTTACTTGTGGTTTTTTTTTATATTTATTTATTTACAACTAAAGTAATCATATATTTTTATATACAAATATACATTTTCCAAATAAAAATTGTTCCATCTCAAAATTAGAGTCTCTCTTGCAGGAAGTTTCACTTTACTCTCTCAAATTTTGGATGCTGGCTAATCGGAGTTGATATCATGATCTTATTTCCCAGATATTTTGACAGAGAGTTAAAAATCCCGGCAGGAAGACTTCCCATCACTTGAGCAAACATATGTCAGCGCGTAGAAAGATTTTCTCAACACTTTCTTTTCCTTGTGAATTATCGTCATTCTGATTAGGATTCAGTCTTTATTCCAATATTTTTTACATGGCTTATATAGCATAGAAAAGGAATAAAAAAAATACCGTCGTAAAATCGTTTTCACAAATCAGCAAAGTTTTTTAAGGAAAACCGTATGCATAAGTTTTGCGCTGGTGATGCAGCTCTTCAGCTCGATACTGCTTTGATTTTTAAAGATGTCTGAGTAAAATAAGAAATATTATTACCACAGCTTGTACGGGATTCTTATCCATATTTCTCACTTCTAGCTGCTACGAAGAAAACTATAAAAATGTCGTTCAAACAAATAATCCGTTTAGCTGGATTTACTTTCAATTTGTATGTACTCAGAAGAGAAAGATAATTAAAGCAACTTGCTTATGTTTTAGTACCCATCAGCCCGTTCTTGCAGGTATGGGTCGTTTGACAGTAGGTTTAATGTTAATCCCATTTAAATCCATTATTAGCGTATAATAATTATAGAAAGCAAAATATTTATGAAGAAATAATTATTTCCAATTATTTTCATGCTTTGATTTTCTATTAAGGACTCCACCTAAGCATTCAATATTTCTAATTTTATTTTCTACGTTTTAATATTTGTTGCCGCCTTCGCTAGTAGATTTCGCATTCGAATACATAGCAATTGTTTCTTTCCTTTAATTATATCGTTTTTGGATGCTGGTGAGAATTCATTTAAACATTACCTTTATATAGCAGATATACGAAAACAAACCAACATTTATGGTTCTAGCCCTTACTGCCGAAAGGGCGTAAGTGACTTAAAATCAGGATTTTGCCAGAGGAGATTTCGTGTCCACACATTACACATTCTTCTCGCTTTTCACATAACTGTATATAAGTTATGGATTTGCACTCAAGTCATTGAATTGAAAATATTGTCGTTAATGCGCTTTTGGTGGGCTCGAGTTGCAAGCAAATTTCGCTCATAATATTTTTTGTTAAACTGTTGCCATTGTTATAATTACAAATTTTTCATGAACAAATTAAATCAATTTTTTTTCTTAATCTATTTTTTCATTTCCACCTTTTGCTGTTCAACTTCTCAAATATCTCACTATTTTTTTAAACTTAAAAATATTTATTGTTATTTGTAAAAGTTTCTGCATGCTTTTAGAATAAAGCATCTAATTAACTAATTAAGAATTACAGTTAATTTTATTGTTGATATTTTTTTGCAATTTTTGAAAATCTACTTTTTTTCTTTAAAATATTTATTATAAATGTGCATGATTTTTCCACCTTAGAACCTCGCTGGAGATGATAAGCGGCCAAGGATCATGCCCGCCGCCGAAATTGGTGGCAGCAAACGTAGCAATGACTTGAAGATCGACATGAGAGACGACCTGTACTCCTCGTCGCAGGAGAATTTGCAGAAGCTTCAAAATGACACCATCCTCAAGCGTATACCTGTGGGCGCTGAAGCGACGACTGTGTTGGTATGTGGTTGGGCAGGCAGCGTAGACTGTTTATTAAATTAATTTATTCCCGTTCGTCCCCCTACAGGTGGGCGCTGTGGACTTCTTGCAACAACCAACCATTGCATTCGTGCGTCTCGCCGAAGGTGTGCTGATGCCCACCTTGACCGAGGTAGCCGTGCCGGTGCGTTTCATGTTTATACTCATGGGTCCACCAACACTCGATTTGGACTATCATGAAGTGGGTCGCTCCATTGCCACGCTAATGGCGAACGAACCCTTCCATGCAATTGCATATAAAGCAGACGATCGCAAAGATTTGCTGTCGGCCATAAACGAGTTCTTGGATGATTCTATTGTGCTGCCACCAGGTAATTGGGAACGTCAAGATCTCTTGCCATTTGAGGAGTTGAAAGCGAAGAAGGACTGGATTCGTTCACGCAAGCGTAAAGCGCTGGAGGTGGGTTGTTCATAACTAAACTTTGTTATTTGACTTCATACAAGTAACACTTTTTCTCATATATATAAATATAAATATATATGTGTACAGGTACAGAACGAGTTGAAGGAGAAGATCAAAGAAGAGGCTAAGATTATTATTGAGAAGAAACCTGAATTGGAGAGTGGTGATGGAAAGAAGAAAATCAATCCGCTTGAAAAGACGCACAAGTGGTGGGGTGGTCTGCGCAATGATCTTAAGCGCCGTTTGCCCATGTACAGAAGCGACATCACCGACGGCCTGAACTCGCAAACGCTTGCCGCCACAATCTTCATGTACTTTGCTTGCCTCTCAACAGCCATTACTTTTGGCGGTCTTGCCTCTGAGAAGACGGGCAACTTGATTGGTATTTCGGAGACTTTGTTGAGCACGGCGCTCTGCGGCATCATTTTCCACACCATTTCCGGCCAACCACTCGGCATTATTGGCACTACCGGTCCGCTGCTGCTCTTTGATGAAGCGTTGATTAACTTTTGCCGTGAAAACAATTTGCCCTTCCTCACCATACGCGCTTACATCGGTGTCTGGTTAGCTGTCATCGCCACCACTTTATCTGCGTTCGAGTGCAGCGTTTACGTGCGTTTATTCACACGCTTCACACAAGAAATCTTCTCCGCTTTGATCACATTGATCTATATCTATGAGACGTTAATGAAGTTAGTCTCCGTATATAAGAAGAATCCATTGTTGGCCAATTATAATTTCCCACCCACAACACTGGCGCCACAATTGCAGAGCTTTGAAAACACCACAATGGATAGTTTGGGCAATGTGACAGCAGAAGTTTCGGTAACGAACGCAACCTCCTCCCCCATCAGCTTGGTCTCGAACATCGTCTCACATACAAATATGCCGAACACGGCGCTCTTCTGCACGATACTCACCTTGGGCACCTTCACGATCGCCTACTATCTGAAACTCTTCCGTAACTCCCATTTTCTGGGACGAAATGCTCGCCGTGCGCTGGGTGACTTTGGTGTACCGATCGCAATTGCGATCTTCGTCTTGATTGACTATCTCATACCAGAAGTGTACACGGACAAGCTCAGCGTGCCGGAGGGTATTTCACCCAGTGATCCGGAAGTGCGCGGTTGGTTGGTGCCCCTCGGTGGTATGCCGGTATGGGCGCCTTTTGCTTGTGGCATACCCGCCATTTTGGTATACATTCTCATTTTCATGGAATCGCACATTTCGGAATTGATTGTTGATAAACCAGAACGTGGTCTGAAGAAAGGCTCCGGTCTGCATTTGGATATTGTGATATTAGGTTTTTTGAACACATGCTGCGGTCTCTTCGGCACGCCGTGGCATTGTGCGGCGACAGTGCGCTCAGTGACGCACGTTTCGGCGCTGACAGTAATGTCGAGGTAAGTGAAGAATGCTTGAAATTAGCGTACAGAAATGCCATAATTTAGTTTATATTATTTTGCGCAGAACTCACGCTCCCGGTGAAACGCCACGCATTATCGATGTCAAAGAACAGCGCGTATCTGGTTTCTTTGTTGCGCTGTTAATTGGTCTGTCGGTGACTATGGCACCGCTGTTGCGTCTGGTGCCTATGGCGGTACTCTTCGGTGTGTTCTTGTACATGGGTATCGCCTCGATGAGCGGAGTGCAGTTCTTCGACAGGTAAGTTTCTTTGGTTGTGTGGTAGATTTCTCTTCTGATTTTTTTTTCTTTTCAACAGGATGGGCCTGTACTTTATGCCTGTGAAACATTATCCCAACACACCTTTTGTCAAGCGCGTACCCACTTGGAAGATGCACATGTTTACCACTATACAGTTGCTTTGTCTCACACTGCTTTGGGCTGTGAAATCGTCCAAAATATCATTGGCTTTCCCCTTCTTCTTAATTATGATGGTGCCGATAAGGCAGCGACTTGCTATGCTCTACACACCTCAGCAACTGCAAGCGGTAAGTGAAGAAGGCTTAATGGATATCACCAAAAAAAAAAAAACATAGAATAGAAATTGTAAATTATTTATTTTAGTTTGATTAGATACACGTATGCTCAATTAAATAATAAACTTGTATCTGGCTTTGATTCCTGCTATTAGATGTGCATATTACTCACACATATGTAGGTGTAATACTCATGTGGACGGTGATGCAATAAACTCAATGTGTGTTATAGATGATAAACTCGTTGTGCTTGATAAGACGCTCGAAAGGCAACAGGAACGGCTGAAACTCACCAGTTTCTACGAGCTGTAAGCTTGGCTTACACAAACCACTTGAAGCACGTACTCGCTCTGCCATTTTTATAGAGTCACAGTGCTCAAATAACAGTGGACTGGTCATATCGCGCCATCTCCAACAACAGCATGCTAGCGAGAACAGCAACAGCTACACCGAATCAGAAAATTTCGTCTGGCCCGAAAAATTCAACCAAAACCGAAATGTCTAGACTAAGAACGGCCAAGCAATGCTCTCTTTTCTTGATAAGCTTTTAAGTGCGATTTTAAGGCTAGGATATTACCAACGAATATGAAAAACGTATGGTACCTAACCCAGAAAAAGAGGTAACGCTGCCATCATTATATAGACCAATCAGCTTGTTGCTTTGTCTATTGAAACTTTTCGAAAAAGTGCTGCTATCAAAAATTTCTAATTTTCTCTTTGAAAATCATATAATTCCTATACATCAACCTAAATTTAGCGAAAAACATGAAATATGGAAATCTTCAGAATTCAGAGAATATCGCTAGTCCGCGTCCTAATAAGTTTCACAAAATTCTTGAATCCTCCTTTTCCAAAAGGCGATTGTTAGTAAAAGTAAATGAGTACATAAAAGAGGAGTATACAACCAGGGCTGGTGCTCCGTAAAATAATTTTCTTTTTGCTATTATTGTTTATACTGTTCAACGCAGATTTTACTACGAGCAACAAAGTAATTACGGCAACTTTTGCTGATGATACTGTTATAATAAGTCGGAACAAATGTCGCATTAATGATCAGCTCGGTAGCGTGGCTCGGTTATCACTGCCTTAGTTAGCCGCTAGAAGACGCAGTTCCTCCTGCTAATAGCAAAACATAGAGGTTGATATGAGGATTTTTGGCGAGACCATATATTAATAATAGGCGCTATATAATCGCTGAAGCGATTTTCGGCCGAGCTTCACCTCCAATTAATAGTTTTGCGTCTTGAAGGTTTTCGATAAAAAAAGGAGTGACCTACAGTTTATACTGAGCCGCTTCCGAACGGCTGATGGTATTTTACGAGGAGCCTTTATATCATATCCGAAATATTATTTTATTTCAATTAATTTTCTATAACTTTTGGATGCTAGCCGTACCAGGATTTGAATTTTTTCGAATAGCAGTACGCAATGCTAACCACTCTGCTATCGCGGCCTCGGCGAGACCATAAAATTCCAAAAAATAATATCTGTTCATGAGGCTTGGCTCATGTTCCGGGCACAACTAAAACTGCACAGATAGCTAGTGCGCATAGCAAATTGTTTGCGAATACAGGTTATTAATGACTACCATGAGCTCAATACTTCTATATGAAAGTTTGCTAGTACACTCAACAAAAAGAAATACCCTTACGAAATTATTGTCAAACAGTATCCACGAGTGCAGTGCATGTCGATTGACCTCCTCGCTTAAGAGAAGCAGAGTATGGCGACAGAAGTCGGTAAATACTACAGCCTGCCAATCGGAAACAATGAAACAATCCATCACTCAATGGAAAAAAGATGAAATGACGCTACATAAAGATGGTGGACAGCTAAATTTATACCTAACATAACAGAGTGGCCGGGTCATGAGTATTTCCGAAATGACCTACCAAGAATGTGGGAAGTCGATGAACCATCATACCATCACATATTTTCCATTGCAGAAAATATAAAGAAAAAAGAAACATTCTCGCAGCAGGGGTAAGAAAAATAACAGCGGAAAACATTACCGGCTTGCTCACGACCAATGTTGAAACATGGGAGCATTAATAGAAGGCTCATAACTATTAAAAATACGGAACGCTGCACGGTAGCAATACCAAATGATCCAGAGGGGGGCGTTGGCGTTAGTCTTTTAGTTTCCGGATATGCGCTGACGCGACGGCACTGTGATGACGCAATAGGCATTTTTCTAACTAAAAAATTACCCGTTACAACAACAAAAACGATGGAGTTAGTTCTTGAAATTTATGAGTTTATGTGAGGATTCATATATCCCAGATGATCCAATAAATGATATTAAAATTTAATAAAGAAAGAAAAAAATTGTGATAATCAGATTTTAACTAATCTTGAAATAATATATCAAGGCTGCATCGTAACGATAAATTTCACCCTAATCAAAAAATTCAATCGATTCGGTTGAAACACTTGAAAATGTTAACGCTTAAGCCGTTATCATAATAATTTTTTTTTTTAATTTTAACCGCAGAGAAGTTCTATCCTTAATGTTAAATCGTTTACAGATAATGTTAAACGTACAAATTGTGCTTGCTGTAAACCAAAGCCTGCAGCCATTTTAAAATTAACGTTGTTTATGGTTTATTTTTCATGTCAGCCAAACGAAATGTCATTGATTCCTTAGTTGGCTTAATATAAACCGATGCTAGAATAATTGACATATAACTTGGAAATTACATTTTATGTTCACACAGGATTACTTCCCGATTACGATTTAATTAAATGAAAAAACCTAAACACAATACTATTTGCAGATTGGGTTAAAGTGATAAAAATTAAACAAATATAATTCATTTTATTTACACCGGTGTAGTCGATGCCAGAAATAATTTTTGTATAATTAAAAATATAATTTATATAGAAGAACTAATTATTTTTTTATTATATGTTAAAACTCTACATATCTTTTTTAAATCTTTCACAGCTCGATGGAAGCGAAGTCAAGGATGAGGACGAACTTGATTTCTATGAGGAAGCTACTATACCCGCTTAAAGTGGATATTTGACTGCATACGCGTGAAGAGCTTTATCTGTGCTTGAAAAAAAAGAAAAAATCAAATAGTTTTGAAAATCTTTTTTTAAATAGTAGAATTGTAGTATTAAATAATTTTTATAAAGCGTTTCAAAACTATTTCACTTTAGCCACAAATGCGGCCGTTAACTTACAGACCTGTACGACTGTAATCGAAGGAATTGCCAGTACTTAAGCATAAATTTATACACTTAAGTGCTTTATCATGACATTTATTTTGCATAAAGTCATCTACTTGGTTAATATATAAAATCTATATTATTTGTTGCTAAAATTTTAGTTAAAAACTTCAATATTTTATTCGAAAATATTATTAAATGTTACCGCTACATATATGTTGAAGAAAAAAAGAAAGAAAATAAATTGAAGTATTTGCTCCATCCTTAAAAGTAGGATACATATAAATGAAACTAAAAAAATTAGGAAGAGAATAAATAAATTACCGTGAAAATGCGATAATTATTTTAATATTACTAAATGTATCTAAAAAGCAAATTGCAAGTATCTGCATGTATATATATGACAAAAGTGTGAAGCAAAAATTAAAAAAAAAATTGAAGTGCACGAAGAGGCATTTCACGATGCAAGTATTATCTTAAATATATTAAATACTATTAGAAATTATATATATTTGTATGTCTTAAATAGTTGAGAGTATTGCAATTTTATTAGATTTTAGTATAGAAACATTATTAAATTATTAATGCAACAACAAGGTCAGGCAAGAAATTCTTAAAAATTGAAATACTTATATGTATGTATACATGACACATTCGCTAGTTGTTATTAATTAAAATGCACTTTTAAGGCGTTAAGTCACAATACTTATATTAATCACACTTGGTGACATCACTTAATAAACACTAATTAATGACTTAACGACTACTTAATTATTTTTTATGCAAGTTAATTAAGTAGGAAAACAAAGCTGTGTGTACATTAGTTTTTAAATAACACACACACACATATATAATATAATTAGTATGTGAAAGGTGTTAAAAAGAAGATATTGATGCTAAGAGTGATTTACTTATTGCATAAAAACAATATTTACAACAAAAAATCAAACGGAAAGGAGAAATGTAACGAAGAATAAATAAAAGTAATAATAACTATTGTGCGACCTTAGTGCTTTGAAAGCCAGCGAGTCTATCGCTGTTAATGTCATTGTGATGTACTGTACTTATCAGCTTGGGAACAATAATTGAAACAAAGAAAACGAACATTCAACACTATAGTATAGAGTATTAGTGATGCTAAATACATACTAACATATTTTCAGATACAAACATACTTACTTAAAAAATTAAAAAACAATCAAAGATACAAATATTAAATGTTATAAATATATATATACAGTAATTAAAAAAGACAAATTTTAAATCAAACACGATAATACGGTTATTGTAATTAAAACAATTCACTTAGTTTAGAATGTTAGAGAAAATAAATATAATTTTGAGTGATTTAGAATTAATTACACTGTAATCAGTTTGGCTTTTATTTAACCTTGAGGCAAAAAAGAATTGGGTGGGATGAAACTTAAATATGACTGCCCATGAGAGAATACAGCACGAGTATTATGCAAGCACATCTATTAAAACTGGCTAAAGTTCTAATTTGTATTGTTTTATGATGTAAATCATCACTACACTTTGCGAATTTAGCGGCGAATCCAGTTATCAGCCTATAGAATTTTGAACTTTCTCTTCACTGTTTTTTACTCTTCTAATCTATGGACTCTTAAATCTAGTTCAGTACAAGTATTTTAAGTGTTAATACGTGCTCCTTTGTCAAAATTGTGAAAACTTACCGTGGACAACACCAGCAGCGTAGCTGGAATTGGGAAGCACCTTTCCGATCTGTCCTATACCAAACAAGGTTTCATACGGGGTGGGTCTTTATAGTGCATTTTCTTTAGTTTAATACTGGAGGTAATAACTAGAGCTGCACAGATAAGAACCGCCATCTCCGAGCTTGTCAAGGAAGCGAAGCAAGTTATAGATAATTTCGTCTTCTACTACAACCGTTGACACCAATGGTAATGTAAGTCTTGGAGATACCCTATTTTATGGTGCAGAAGAGAGGACGATGTCGACATCCGGTTAGTCGGCGCTGGGCGTTTTCCAGAGAAAAGTTTTGCGAACGATATACGGTTCTTTGTACATTGGCAACGGCAAATACTGCAGATGATCCAACGATGAATTGCATGCCGTCCGGAAGGATGAAAACACTCCAGCATTGAAAGTATTCGATGCAGTACCTTGGTGGAAGCGGAAGAAGAGGGAGACCTTCACTCTGTTAGAAGGATCAGATGAAGAGTGTTCTGGTATCACTTGGTTATTACAACTGGTGACGCGATAATATTGATTCCGACAAAATCGGTACAAGACAAATTTTTTAAATAGATCGATAGATAGGTCCCCTTAATGAAAAACCCTTAATTGTCAAATGTATACGGCATTTGCAGAACACATCTTCCAAAGTTTCAGGTCTCTACGATCAATGATTTAGGCTGTGGCTTGTCCGTCAGTCATTTAGGATAAATCCTTTGGCATAAGAACAGAATACAGAATTTTAATGATAAAAATTTTTTTGGGGCAAAGAGGGAAATCTCGAAAAAAATTAAATTTGTATCGTTTAAAAGGTGATAATTTTTTTTAATATCTTTTTTCTAATATCTTTCTATTATCTACTTTTGGAAAAAATTCAGCAATAAAAAAGTACTATTTTTTCCATTGAAAACCTAGTTTTGTTTAAAAATTTATGTAACAAATCAATCTTAACTGTCTATAGTCGCGCGAAAAAATTCGTTTTGATTGTGGTATTAACGAGCAATAACCATACTCATACTTGTAAATTTGCCAAATTTGTTAAATGTTTTTCTTAAGAATACTTTGCAAGGCGATGCCGTTGTTGGTTCGGCCCAGGGTTACAATCCAAAGCGTGGCCAACTTACAAAGGAGTTGTTGCCACTTTCCGCAAATATTGTATGATATTATTGAAGAGAACTTATATTGCATGTTATATATCATATGTTCATACTTTTTTATTTCTGGTAGTTTAGCTTATGGTTAATCCAACATCTATCTTGAGAAAGTATTGATATATGGTCATCAAAAATAGGGATTTCACTTACCTTTCCAACGATATCAAATTTTAAAATTTGGTGTAAAACTTTTTGAGATATAGCGTTTCATAATTTTCCAAAGTTCCACCTTCGACCCCAATACCTACGAAAATAAAAGTTTGCCCCAAAAAAATTTTTATCATTGAAATCAGGAAAACAGGTCGGACCATACCCATTTCAATTTTTGTTTTTTGCCTTTAAGAAGTAAAATTCTTTCATTGTGTTGAAATCCAATTATTGAGTGGTTGGGATTTACTTAAAAAGAGCATCAAGGAACATTGTCTTCTAATAAGAATTTGTTCCATCACTTTGGCTGGTATCGGAAATGTTTGTAATCAAAGAGGTTCTCGTTTTACTTTAGAAATTATTGACAGCCCGATTCATACAAAATTTATTTTAATTTCCAACAAACATTTTTTCACAATCAATCATGATTAAATCAATCGCAAAAAATTGAGTGACATATTGTTTGTATTTAATTCCCAATTTTTCGTTTGTCTTTAGAAAATGTTTTAAAAATCCAAAAAATTTTTGTTGAATATTAAATAAAAATAAAAAACACTAAAAATGAGTAAGTGTTTGATAAAAATAAGTGCCGAAAAATTGGAAAATTTCATGCAACTCACCGAAGCCATAGACAAATCACTTGAGTTAGCCAAAAGAGGAACAGAACAAATAAAAACCGAAATTGAGCTGTTCAAGCAGATACAAAAGTTTCATCAGGATTACGATGTACTCACGAATGCGCTAAAAGCCAAAACGAGAACCAAATCTGAAATTAGCCTGCTCAAAAGAGAACTTTTCACGCTCGTGCGTAAACGTATATATCTCTTGCGAAATTTCAACAAACACTGTGACGATTTCAAAACGGATATGAACTCCATGTTCGAGTTGCAGGCATTCAACGACTTGGAGTGTGAGCTTGATGGCGAAGATGAGAGCGAGTATGAAGACGCCGATGATGGAAATGTGAGAGTCAGCGATCTCAAACCGCTGCCGGGAAACAGCGTCTGGCGTATGGAAAATTGGTTTTCTCCAAGTTCATCTTGCACAACTTTTGTGTGATTTGTCTATATAATGATGCTTGGGACCGTGAAACCTATTCCTTGCAAAACAGTTGTTCAAAGTCTCAACTATGCAATGCACTTTTATCATACCCTTCATGATTTTCGTGGATGATGATTTTTGGTGTGGTAAAACTGCAGTGTTTAGTGAAAGAAGCATATGATCATACAAGAGCAGATATTACTTTTCTACAAAAACACATATGACCTTTTAAGTTATAATTAAATCGCAATACTTAACTCAACCAAATTTTTTGTGTTTGAAATCAATATTATAACTTTTTTCCGTCATTCCCAATGAAAATTAGATGACAAGTTTTTGGTATTAAAATTGTCTTGGTACTTGCTGGGGTTAGTATAGTCTATTAATACGCCGATGGGGACAAGTTTCTTCACATATCCAATGTGACATAAGTCTCCAGATCCTTTGAAGAGTATCTTCGTGGTCAATTCATTACAGGCTTTGTATCAACTTGAATAAGCCGTAAGTATTGCTATTCACAAGTAAATCCAAGGGGAGCGATATTAGAGTTGAATTGAGTTGCTGCGCCTGCTGGTCATTACCAGCATACTTAGACCAATAGGCTCATTGTGATACCGCCGTGGGACTCCTATCTTCACCTTCTTAAATGATCAAATCATTTTGGGTGTCTTTTAAAAGCAACGAGATTCGCAATTTTCGTTGAAGTTAGCTCAGCGAGACAGTTAAAAAACTGTTTCCCGAGAAATTTTTGTTTTAGTTCATTCTTTTTCCGTGAAATCGTGAAACAATAGACTGTTTTTATGCCTGTCGTTATGTAAATGCAGAATCGGTTTAGAAGGATAAGATGATCCGATTTTTTCGCATCCAACTTTGGCCATAACTGTTTGGTCACATGGCAGGTTATATCCCTTCTCTCGCTAGTTCATCTGCCATGCAATATCGTGGGATGTCACTGCAGTATTAAATTTAGTTTTGAGTTTGTTAAGATTGTTTCTATATTTGACGTGCTATTGCTGCATTGTAAAGATCTGATAGCAGTTTGATTCTCGGCGCTGCCTTAGATTTGAGCACCCATTCGACGGGTCCAATGATTGCAATGTATGCTGTTTGGAAGACGCTGCAATGGTCTGGTAGTATCATTCATGCTCATATTTATTGAGGACATCAAAGAGTAGATTCCTCAGCTAACTTTCTAATCGAGCTTGGATCCTTCTGCGAAGAAGGCTTGGCGTTGGTGTAGTACAGCTCCTTCGAAATTTCTGCTTTGCAAGCTTAAAGAGCAGCTATAGTTTTCCATGACCTCTATGCCTTGTTATGATATTAATTCGCCGTTTTGTTCTGGAGACTTTTTATATATTTCGGGTATTTATCTTAGACAATTTTTCATTGGAAGGTTACCGCCTTACGCATGTGCAAGAGATCTATTGACAACAGATTAAATATAGTTTCATGATCTCTAACTGGATCAAAGTGTCAGTGGAGATCGTAATCCTCTATAGTGCGATTATGTAATGCACTGCTATAACTAAAGTTTTAGTCTTCAATATTTCAAGTTAAATTCAGAGATTAATATGCATTAGTGATCTGACAGAAAAGACACAATGAGGAAAATTGTAAAACACCTGAGCTAGGCATGGCACATGACCGAGCAGAGTCCTGTTGATATAATCGGGGTTAGATCCCAGACGGGAGCGGCCGTTTCAGCAACAAGGTGCGACTCCATTAGCAAAGCTGATCCCGGCAATCTCCTATTAAGGGATCTCATCGAGGAGGTTCGGCGAATAGTAAACCACCATAAGCCGAAAAAGTAGGATGGGCATTTGAGCGGTTTCGCAGGGTGGTGTTCTCTCGCCATTATAATCCAACTTCAATATTTCGAAGCTCCTGGTGAAGGAGCAGTAGGGATTTCCTTGATCTCATATGCCCATGATTGCTTAATATTGGCGTCTGGCCAATGGTGATCCCTGTTCGAAAGTGAACGGCAATCTTGACGACCTGTCCCACTTTTTGACTGCACGAGAGCTCAAAATACAACCGAACAAATCCTCGGCTACGCTTTTTTCAAGCTGGAGGAAGGAATACAGGCTCATACTATAAATGAAGGTCGATGGCGTCAAAATTCTGACCATAAATAACCCAAAGATACTGGGAGTCACATTTGACAGTCTGAACTCACTTTCTCCGCATACGACCGCAATTACCGTAAAACTCCAGGGCCGCAACAAAATACTCAAAGAGCTAGACCAATGGTCGTAAACTATGCTGTATCGATACGGGCGCCGGGGACGAACGAGACGCAGATGAGGAAGCTACAGCCTTACCAGAACACCGCCTTTGGAACGCTACAGGAATCCTTCTGATGTTTCCTCAGCATCACTTTCGTAGTCAACCATTTATTCTACGAGTTAAGGAGCTTAATGCTTTGCTGTGCAATGCAGGGAATACCCTAATAGGCATCTTATTGAGGCTGAACCACCACCCAGAAAAAGACAGGCACTAAACGACAATCTACAGGAATCAGTTAACTCCTTCAAAGACTCCCTTCCTGTGAATGGCGAGCTCGTAGTAAAATCACCTACCTACAGGAGACGAATAGCTCGATCTGCCTGGAGAGATCTGCGTAATACTGACGCAACTTAGGTCTGGATACAGTAGCTGGTTAAACTTCTACCTATCCAGACTCGACCCCAGAATACTCAACGTATGCCCTGCATACTGAGAGTCTTCGCACGACACTAACCACCTCTTTTCGTGCCCCCTCTTAACCGACGCATCTAACCCACATCCGTCTGGTACTAACCCGTGAAACAACTCTTTTCCTGGACCTCACGTTAGATGACCTCGGTGCACGCCGCTTTATAAAGGATGGGATCATAAGAAAAATAACCATACTTAATTAAGTTGGTCATCAATTTTGCATTTAGAATTAGGTTATATAATTGGGTTTTTCAAAATAACGATCGGCCAAATTATTTACAATATAAAGCTTTGTTGCTTCTTTTTAATTCATAGATCGTTACACTTTTGATTTCAAAACAACGGAAGGCTAGTGCTATTTCAATTTAAAAAAAAAAACAGCTTTCAATCCAAAGCTCAGCGAACTACCTTAACAACAGTTGAGAATTTGAAGCTTGAGTGCTAGAAAGCTTTCACTTAATAACACTTTTATAATCCACAAATACTTTCGATGTTTGTCTTGCACTCAAAAGTTGTTCGGTGTCCTGTAAAGTTTTGTTGTCCCAAAAAGCTCGCGATTGAGTGAAATTTTTAGTCAATTCGCAAACCCGCGACTCTCCTGCACGATGCCTCACCAAATACGAAGCACTCCAAGGAGCATAACGTGCACAATAACTTACCACAACGCTCGCTGCCAACGTGCGCGTGGTAAGCATAGAACCGATTTCATTTTCGGCCCTACGCTGCTGTCGTGACCGTTAAATAAAGTAGCACACATCGTGCACCAACATCGCCAACTTTCATACAAAATAACACGAAAGGTGAAGTAAAGAAATCAGTTCAAATCGTGACGTTTCAGCGTACAGATGCGAACGCAATTGGGGCGCGTGAACGGAACGCGTTTGTCTCTAGAAAGGATATACAAGTTGGCATTTCATTTTTAAGCCGATTGCGAAAAGGCTCAATGCAAATACTTTGTGGGCTAATTCGGAAGTTTTGTGTTAACCTCGATTCTTGAAAACATATTTTACGGTTTACTGTGTGTGTTCGTAAATGTTGTGGCAACTTTGTAGGCAGCGGCACTACTAACCTCATTCTAACGGTACCATAATATAGCTATTAGCAAATTTTCGTTAACCAGCGCTACCAGTGCCGCCAGTGGCACGGACTCACGTACAACGGGAATTCCCATATTTTGTTCATTTGTGTGTATCACGTTCTGCTATCGCTTTCGGTAAATTCACTTTAACGATTCGTATGTCGTTTTGACGGCCGCTCGGTCTCCCAGTCTCCCGGTCTGTCGGTCGGTACGTAGATCTGCCGTTCGGTCGGTCGGTTAGTGTATACTACACATCATCGTCGGTCAATTCTTTTAAACGATTTATATCTTTCATTTGCAAAAAAAAGTCCAATCAATGTACATTATGCCTGTTTTTGTGCATAACTGTCCTTGTGTGTGTGTACGTGTGTGTCAGTGCATTGAAAACCACTAACAAGGCTGTGTAAAATCAGTAAATAATTGACCAATACTGTCAATTTGAACAACATGACTGGACGTCGACCTTGCTGCATGTACGGCGAATGCTCGTGAAGGGTTCATACGTGTATATATATATGAGAACAACAATAGAAAAAGGTACAAATGCAATATGCTCATATATATAATATATGAATCCAGTATAATACACACACGTACACATTTCTTATATGTTTTAATTCATGGTTGAGACTTACGATTAATATACACCTAAAGAGCAATAAATAGCAAACTTTTTAACAAATTTATATACTTCTCTTTATAAAATAGGTCTTTCATTGCCTAATGAATTGAGGAAGTTCAACACAATTTGTAAAGAAGAAGAAGTGAGAATCATTTGTGCTTTCGAATATATTTCGATGGTGGGACTTGAATTTCTTTAAAAAGTATTTAGTAACGGGCTTTCTCACTGACCTTGCCTTCTTAGTGAGTTTACGGTATTACCTTATAATTTTAGAATTATCCTTTTCATACTGTTACTTGTAAGAATTAAATACAGAGGTTTAAAAAAAATCTTTTTTAATTTTTAATTTTATAATTTTTTTTGAAAAAAGATATAAATGGTTGAATATCAGTATCAGCACCATTTTCTATTATTCATAACAAAAGAGCTTTCACCATAAGCCAATTTATGTTCATTTTTTTATAAAGTTTTTGTGGTTTTCTTTCTACATCATATTTGGGAAACTGTTATGAGAAAACTTGATATTAAAACGTATGCTCATAGTAAATTACATATTTAAATAACAACAAAGCTTCTATGCCGAAGAGAATTTAATAAGAATTGCCAAAATCAAATTTAAATACAAAAAATGGCATACCAAATACTAAATGTTTTTTGCACTATATTTGGAAAACTCAACAGACTTCATTAGGCAAAATATCTACTAAGTGGTACTTTTTAAGTCAAGTTTAGATGTTTGAAGTCCCCATAACTAAGCCGATTTACAATTTTCTTCAAACAATAACTTTTAAATGCAGTCCGGCCCATGATAGAAAAAACAAGGTAGTTTCACTCTCATTTTTTTCCAAAAATATTAACCATCTGACATAAAAAGATTTTTTTACTTCTGCTTTATTCTTGTGCTAACGATATAATTAAAAAAGTTAATTTTCAACAGTCTAAAATTAAAAAAAAAAATACATTACAAAAAATGCAAAACCTTTCAATGTTAACAAGAAAATATAGAATAATTAAACCTACTCACAAAAAACTCCAAGGTTTTGCATTCCATTCACTGAAATATAATAAAATTAAATTTCCGGCGGCTTAATATTTAAAAAAAAAAAAACATATATACTTTTTTTAAGTGGCAATATCTTGATGTTAAAATGAAAATAAGATATACTGTCAAAAATTATTTTTCTTCCAATTTTAGATTGCGTGAAATTACCTTTCTTTTTTGTATCATAAGTCCAGCCGATATATCTATTATATAATACAGCAAGGTTTATACAATAGAATAGAATGTTACGACAACCGTTGAAGTCATCGAACCAACCTCGTCATACATACAGTGGGCGGTACACATAAAAATAAAAAAATTTCACTTCAAAAAATTTAAATGTATTTAAATATGAAAAAACACAAATCATTAAATTTTTTTTCGACTTAAGTACTCAATCACAGATTTGGCGATTTTTTTTACTAAAACAACGCGCAAAATTAGCAAACAACAAGCTACGGTGCAAGGCATGGGCTGTTTTGATCAAACCAGGGCTCAGGTAGCTGAAGACCACCAAATAATCATTCTTTTTAAGCAATTCTTCATTCTTTCACATAATATAACTGAACTGCCGATGAATTCAAGTTTTCTTAATACCAAAACTTCAAGTTTTTATTCCAAACTGCACCATTCAAACTGTATCATTAAATTTATAAAATGGGGGATTAGCGAATGTGCTACAATACCGCATGTATATTTAAATTTTTCAGAGCACGTTAATATAAATCAATCCCACAATTTTTATTTTGAAATTTTTGCCTTACATGGTTTTAGGGGTTTAAAGCCAAAATTTTACGCTGTTTCATAGATAAAACTATGTATTTTTTTAATTCTCGGCAACCCACAAATTGAACCAACTTCGTCATTAAATATATAATTTCCACATTGTCGTAACCTTGTATTCTATAAACCTTAATAACATAGCAGGGCACTTGACTTTTAAGTCAAAACTAATGTTTGTCTGATTAAATTTAAAATCATTATTATTATTAGATTCTTACTTCTTTAATATTGAAAAACAAAAACAAACATTTTTTTTTGTTACCATTAGTGTTTATTTATTGGCTTTGCTTCAACATCAATAGCCTAACAATAAATAATAAAATATTAAACTAAACTAAAACTTAAAGTCCATTAGCAAGAATGGGCTGCTGACCTGAAGTTGCTTTTGGGAAGGCTGGGTTGTCGCTTCTCTGCAGGCATCTTTGACTTGTTGCGTAGGTTAAGGTTCAAATGATTCGGCAGTTTTGCTTATTTATTTTTGTGCTGCGATTTTAATCCCTTCTCTGATGGCAGTATACGTACATATATCAGTTCACGGATATTTTACTAACACATATACCAATAGGCAACCCTATTATTATTTTTAACGGTTTTGATTGAAACATTTCAATTATATCTATATCCGCAACCTGTGCCCTATAACTGGATTCCATACATTCATAACGGTTTTATTGTTGCATCGGATAGGAATATTTTATGTGAAGGCTTAGTCCAGAGTTTTTGTTTAAAAGCCAATGAAAACAGGCATGTTTTGAGCTTGAGCTGTGGTTATTAACCCAAATGTGTCGCGTCTTGGTTAAACGTCTGGCTAAGTGTATTCTGAGGTATGTAACTTCGTTAGCTTGCGCAATAGATACATTGTTGAGCTTGATTGTAGGGCATGTTTTGGCTTTAAAATTTATTTGCTTGCACCTCTTTTTATTAACTTTTGCCCGCCATTTCGCTAGCGATTCTTCATTTAATAACGGTGCTGTTCTAATACTTTTGTGGCTGTATTGGAATATTTTTGCCGATTATTATAAACATCTGATAGTGGAGCTTTTTGAAAGAGCTACATACATATATATAAACGAAGAATATCTTACGGCATTTCAACTAAGTTATCTCCCTGCCGACAAATATCCATCGTAATAGTCATATCCAGATCAGTCCAAGTCTTTGTTATTGTATTAAGACCTTCTTCTCTTGTATATATTTATATACATACAGTTAATAAAAATGAGTTTCCGAGAAGGTAATACAGAAAAAGTGGACAACTTGGCTAAATTCACCCCAAGTTTTACAGACGTCAAGAAGGAAGGATCTGATAACTTTTATAATCTTAGTGCTTTAAAAGTACAGTTCCTCGTCATGAAATAAAACTATAAGTAACTTTTAAGTTCCTTTAAGGATTATGCATGCTTACCGGAATCTGTTAAGGTCTACAGTAAACTACATTCATTGATAAAGAATTGAAAAGAACTTAAACCGGCAAATCGATCTTTTACCAGAAGTACATATCATTTCTCCAGTAAAACTGACCGAACACTAAGTTGACAAAAAGCTTTGTATTGTTCGACCAGTCCTGCTATTGGAAATATCCTTTGAAAATAAGTTAGTACACAATTAACTAAATATATACATATATAAAAACGGTTACAACAACCGTTGAAGTTAACCGAACCAATTTCGTCCTATATTCAGTGGGCTGGATTTGATACTATATAATAAAAAGAATTTTTTTTAAATTTCTTATATAGAAGAAAATATAAATTACACAAATTTTGATTTTACGTACTAACGTCACGTTGATCACATTCTTTTTTATTAAAAGATGGCGCAAAAATTAGCGAAAAAAAGCCAGTGCGCAAGGTTTTCATCAAACCAAGGTCGAGGTTGCCGAATAAAACCAAATAGTTACACAAATTTAATGCGTAAATATTATAATAACTCACATAATTTTTTTTTAAATTTTTGTCCACAATATCCCACTGCACACTCTTTCACCGCAACGAATTTTCAAATATGATTTTTTTCACAGGATGCAGATCATCCATTTCTCAAAATTTCTTTAGCAGAAAATGAAAATATGCAAAAATCAGCTTTTTTTTTATCAAATATTTTGTATTATTGTGCGTTCACTTTGAATTATGATAATTTTTGAACCTTCTTGACATTGTTTTCTCATGCCATTCGGATTGCGTAAAACCAAAAGTTAGAGTTGCCAGCTAAATATATTTTCGTTAAGCAATAATATTAATTTATGTAATTTAAATTTTTTTGGAAATAAAATGCATTTGTTCGATACAAAACAATTCAGAACATTTTAATTGTGATTGCTTTGTGTTTTAAAAAATTTCATAACAAGACTTCAAAATTTTGTTAGTGAAAGTTTTGTTTTATAGATAAAATTATGAAAATTGATTTTAAAATCTTCGGCAACCCGCAAACTTGGAACAACTCCGTCATTAGTTATATGATTTCGCTCTTGTCGTAACATTCGATTCTATAAACTTTGCAAATAAATGGTTATAACATTTGTCATAAGCGCATAGAATATTAATTTCGGCCATCGGTGGTTAGTAAAGTGTTGATTATTGCTTTTCGAGGCTCTTAAGCGGCAGAATTGGGTTATAATAATAAGCCTAACGAATACCCTCCATACGCTCAACTCACACGAGAGACGGCATGCGCATAACGAAGAAAATATGCCGAGTCATGATTAGGAGGCGTTGGCTAAGTGTCGAGATTACAAATGGTTTAGCTACAGAAAAAATTATTATTAAACGGCTGAAATTTAGTAATTAAAATTTAGTTTTTGAGGTGCTGAAATTAAAACTAAAATTGTGATACAATCGGCAAAAGTGTTCATTCAATTCATAATTTGTCAGACATGACCTTAATAGTAAAAGCCTCAACTGCCTAGATACATGAGTTGGAGCATTACAGTTTACCTCAGATAAGAGCCATGAACAACAAAGTGCCTAAATAGGTAGATTTAGAAGCTTTCAACGGTTGGTATATGGAAAAATATTTATCGTAGAGTACCATAGGAAATGTCTTAATGCCAACAGTAAAAACTGTTTTTAAACAGAAGGAATGAACCTGATA